GTCTTATCTTATTATTATTATCAGCTCTTAAGTTGTAGGTAGCATGTGCATAACGTCGCAGGTTTTTACATATGCTATAACGCCTGTGCCATGTTTGGGTGCGCTGCACCCATCAAAAACTCGTCATCTTAGCATCAGTATAACTCCAGCAATGGCAATCGCTTTCCCCTCCCCTCCATGATAGGCCCCCGGTGTTGATGTTGCCCCGCTTTCCTGAGTCAAGTGATCTTCATTGTTCAGTTCCCACTATCGGTTGAGAACATGAGGTGTTTTGTTGTTGCTGTTTCTTTGGTGAATAGTTTGCTAAGCATGATGGGTTTCACGCAGGCTGCATTCATGTCCTACAAAGGGGGCACGAAAAAAAAACAACAAAACTCATCCTTTTTTATGGCCTGCATAGTATTCCATGGTGTAGCTATGTGCCAACATTATTTCTTAATCCAGTCTGTCACTGATGGATCATTTGGGTTGATTCAAGTCTTTGCTTTGTGAATAGTGCGCAATAAACATACGCTGTGCATGTGTCTTTATAGCAGCATGATTTATAATCCTTTGGGTATGATACCCACGTAAGTGGGAATGGCTGGTCATAAATGGTACATCTACGTTCTAGATGCCTTGAGGAATCGCATAAACTACTTTTTCGCCCGGGTTTCTCAATCGGTTGAAACTAGTTTCACAACTTCCCACAACAGTGTCAAAAGTGCGTTCGCTATTTCTCGCGGCACATCCTCCCCCTCCAGCACTGTTGTTTCTTGAGCTTTTTCAATTGTCGCCATTCTAACTGGTGTGAGATGGTATCTCATAACTGTCGGTTTTGATTTGCATTTCTCTGATGGCCGTGATGAATGAGCATTTGTTTTCATGTGTCTGTTGGCTGTAATGACATGTCTTCTTTTGAAGAAACTCTCTTTCATATCCTTTGCCACTTTTTGAATCTGGCGCGTTCGTTCTCCTTTTTCCTTGTAAATTTGTTTGAATCTCTTTGTAGGTTCTGGACTTCACTTCAGCCCGCTCTTGTCGGCATACGTAGATTTGCACAGAATTTTCTGGCCATGTCTGTAGGCGCTTGCCTGTTCACTCTGATCGGGTAGTTTTGCTTTTGCTGGGCAAAGCTCTGTTAGCTTTTAATCTGATCCATTTGTCAACTTTGGCTTTTGCTGCTGTTGCTTTTTGGTGTTTCACACTCACGTCTTTGCCCATCGGCTATGTCCTGGAAATGGTCACCTCACTAGCGGTTTCTCTAGGTATTTTTTAATGGTATTCAGTCTACGATTTAACGTCTCTAAAATCGCATCTGTCTGAATCTGAATGTTTCGTAAAAATAAGGAGTAAGGAAACGAATCCAGTCTTCAGCTTTTCCTAGCTTTGCCTAGCAATTTCCCAGCCCATTTTTAAATAGGCGAATTCCTTTCCCATTCTCTTGTTTCCTCACTGCCAGCCGCTTACGTGCAACAGATCAGAGCTGGCTGTAGATTTCTGTGGTTTATTTCTGAGGACTCTGTTCTGTTCGCATTGTCTATATCCTCTGTTTTGGTACGAGTAGCATGCTGTTTTGGTAGCTGTAGGCGCTTGTAGTATAGTTTGAAGTCCAGAGGTAGCGGTGATGCGCTCAGCTTTGCGTTCTCTTTGACTTAGCGATTGTCTTGGAGATGGCGCGGCCGCTCTTTCTTTTGGTTCCATCATGAACTTTGACAACAGCAGGCTTTTTTGCCAATTCTGTGAAGAAAACTCGTTGGAGGCTTTGATGGGATAGCGCATTGAATCTATAAATTACCCTTGGGCAAGTAAATGGCCTTTTCACGATGACTTCCATTCTATCCATCGAGCCAATCCGTAATGTTCTTCCATTTGTGTTGTCGCTCTCTTGATTTTCAACTGAGGCAGTGTTTGTAGTTTCATCCTGCAAGAGGTCTTTTACATCCTTGTAAGTTGGATTTCCTCAGGCGTATTTTTAAATTCCTCTTTGAAAGCAATTGTGATGGACAGTTGCCATTCCTGATTTGGCTCTGTTCCTGTCTGTTAGCTGGTGTATAAAGAGACTGCTTGTGATTTTTGCACATTTAACTTTTCGTCACCCTCGCGCAGACTTTCTGAAAGTGTGCTTATCAGCTTAAAGGAGATTCTTGGGGCTGAGACAACATGGGGTTTTCTAAATATAAACAATCATGTCATCTGCAACGAGGGACAAATTTGATTTCTTCTTTTCTAACTGAATACGCGCTTGAAGTGGTTCTTCTCTTCTGCCTGACTTGGCTAGCCAGCAAAACTTCACACTATGTTGAATAGGAGTGGTGAGAGAGCGCATCGCCGTCTTCCTGTGCCCAGCTTTTCAAACGGGAATTTTTCAGTTTTTGCCCAATCAGTATGGCATACTTGCGGCTGTGGGTTTTTGTCATAAACATACGGCTCTTATATCTCTTGCAGGTAGCGTCATCAACTACGACATTACTTGAGCGTCTTTTAGCACTGAAGGGCTGGCGTTGACCCACACTCTTGTCGAAAGCTTTTTCTGGGCAATCTATTGACGATCACATCATCCGTGGTTGCTTGTCTTTGCGGTTCTGTTTATACTCGCTGGATTATGTTTATTGGACTTTGCGAATGTTGAAAGCAGCCTTGCATCGCCAGGGATTGACGCAACGATCAGTTCTTCGCAGCGGAAAAGCTAAGACTCGCCGAGAACCTCGGGCTCTCTACCTTCTCGAGGAGGGCGCAACGCGAAGCATTCATGAAAAAAAAGGGCGAATCCACCCCCAATTTCGCACACCCCAAACCAACTCCTTTAAAAGCCCCCCGCTCAACAAAGTTTTGGGGAAATCGAATTTTTTTCCACATGAGAACCTTTTTGGGTTTGGAAAAGCCAAAACAAAACCAATAAATCCTAAAAACATGAACCAACCTAGTCCCTGACTATGGTTTTCTTTCCCTCTTGAAATTGTCAAACCTTTTTGCAACAGCAGACACGGTGGTTCTTTTGAAAAAGCCTGAGTTCTCAAAAAAAGCCACCAATGGGCTTGCTTTCAGCCACAGAACACTCTTCAGGGCTTTCAATCTTCAGAAGTTAAAAAAGGCTAAAAGAAACGCACAACTCTTTTCCTCTTAAAACTTTTTCCTTTTTCTTCTCTTTTTGACAAAAAATAAAATTCCTCCACCTTTTTTCAACTGCCCTCTTGGCATAAGTGGGCCTTTTCTTTAAATGCAAACCGCCTTTTTTGAAAAGACGCAAAAGTTGTCTTCCCCAACCTTTTGAGGGCCAATCTGGGTTTTAACAATTTTTCTTCTGCTTAGAACTTTTCTTTACAGTTTTCGAACCCTCCAAATTCACTCTGGAAAAACATCTTCAAACCCAGGCTTCTTTCCAAATTTTTTTCACTTCAGTTTTGGCAAAAAAACTTTTATTACCAAAAAATCCGAACACATACCATGCCGAAAAAAAACAAAAACATAAACAAAAAATCAGTTCACACAAACATTGTCTTTTTGTTCTTTGGTAAAGCAACTCTCCTTGTCAAAAAAGTCAATTTTTTGAATTTTTGGAACTTCTAGAGCTTTTTTGAAAGAAACGGTTTTTTTTTTTTTCCAAAGTTTTTTTTTTTGTGGTGGTAAGTAAAAGGCACACCAGCGTATTTTCATTGTCTGGTTTTGATTTAATTAACGGAAGCCAAACAACGAAGTTTGCGCAAGAAAATTTTGGTTTTTCTTTTTTTTGTCTCTCCCAACCCTGAAAAACGTGAAACACAAATCTTTTCAGAACTATTTTTAATGAAATTTCTATTATTTCACCGCCCACTAATTCACTGCAACACAAAGCAATTACAAAGCAGCCCAAATATCATCAACACACGACATAAAATTTTTTTGATTGTGACGTTTAAGACAACAAATTAATAACAAGAAAAGAGGTTGAGTTAACAACTAATAATCAAAGAAGAATATACAGAAAGATACAAAGAGGGAGAAACACCAAACGGAAAGCGCGATATAAAAAAAATTTTTAAAATTCTTCACACACAATTCATCCACTTTTTGAAAAATTACTTAAAAAATACCTTACATCAAAACAACAAATTTTACAAATTGGAAGAGAGAACAACAAACAAATTTAACACAAAGGGTTTTTTAACACATACAATAATCTTGTTCAACACTAACAATTAAAAACAACAATAACAATACGACGTTTAAATCTCCACAACACACAATTTATAACACAATAAACATTTAATACTTTCATATAAGACAAATAACAACAAGTTTTTTTCCTGTGTTTTTAAAGTTAAAAAAAGCATGTTGGAGGAAGGCTTTTTTTTTTTTTTTTAAACAGGCTTTTTTTTTTTTTTTTTTTTTTTTTTTTTTTTTTTTTTTTTTAAAAAAGGAAAATTTACACTTTTTCCTCATCTGGCTTTTTGAAAATTTTTGTTAATCTACTTTATAGCAGAAGGCATTCTAAATTAAAAAAATTTTTTTTTTTTTTTTGAAGTTCTTTTATTTTTTTTTCTTGAGCAAACAGTGAACTCATTTGAAATCAAAGACAAGTGCCAACTGCAAAGCCGTTTTCTTGGCTCCCTGGAGTGCAAAAGGGGAAAAAAAAACTTTTTTTAATAAAGGGTTGTTCTGGAAGGAAGAGCAAACGACAGAAAAAATAGTTTTGGGATTTGGTTTTTAATCAGTGGAAAACAAGCAAGCCTTAAAAGTCCTTTTCTTAGGTCTTTGGAAGATTAGCTTTTTGGTGGGAATTTTCCCTTTGGATTTTTGTTTTTTTTTTAAAATGTGGTCCTTTTTTCCCCAAGGAAAACAAATAAGTGACCAAACTACTCCTGAGTTTTTTTAACCGGTTTTTTTTTTCAGTTTTTCTTGGTTTTTTTCACTAGGAAACTCTTTGGGTCTAGAAAAAGCTGCCTCAGTGTAATTGGGCTCTTCCAAAAACAATTAACAACTTTCACTTTTTTAAAACAAACCAAAAAGGTTTAAGTTTTTTTGATCATGTGGTTCTTGTCTTTGGTTCTGTTTATATGCTGGATTATGTTTATTGATTTGCGAATGTTGAACCAGCCTTGCATCCCAGGGATGAAGCAACGATCAGTTCTCGCAGGGACTAAGACTGAGAACTCGCTCTCTACTTCGAGGAGGGCACCAAGCCATTCATGAGGGATCCACCCCCATGACCCAAACAACTCCCCTTAAGCCCCGCCTCCAACAGTGGGGATCAGATTTCCACATGAGACTTGGTGGAGCCAAACAAACCATATCCAAACCATACCACCTCCTGACTGGTCTCCCTGATGTCACCCTTGCACAGCAGACCACGGTGGTTCTTGAAAAGCCTGAGTCAAAGCACATGGCTCTTCAGCACAGAACACTTCAGGGCTTCCCATCTCAGAGTAAAAAGCCTAAGACGCAACCTCTCCTCCTTAAACTTCCCTTTCCTTCTCCTTGAATAATCCTCACTCACTGCCCTCTGGCCATAGTGGCCTCTATGCAACCCTTTGAAGAAGCAAAGTGTTCCCACCTGAGGGCATCTGTACATTTCCTCTGCCTAGAACTTTCTAGTGACCCCTCCATTCACTCCCTGATCCTTCACCAGGCTTCATTTTCTCCAGTGCACTTACTACCATCCGACACATACATCAGTTCACACATGTCTTCCCCTGGTAAGCAACTCCTCCTGTCAGTCATTGATGGAACTTAGAGCTGAGAACGGTTTCCAGTTTGTAGTAGGCACACAGCGTATATTGTGTGAATATAGGACAACAAGAAGTTGCAGATTGTTTTCCTCCTCCACCCCTGAAGTGACTTCTCAGCTATGATTAATTCCTGAGCAGAATGCCTCAGCAGCCCAGTTCAAGAAACTAAATTTGATGTGAGTGGCTGAGCAGGAGTGAGTCCTCAGGATATCTGTGATGGGGAAAAACACCAAAGGAGCCGTATTAATCTTCAACCACATCATCTGATACTATAACTTCCTTTCTAGTGGGTAGGCTCAACCAAATGCAATATAATAGGGTTTCTCAATATCTGTCTTCCTAGCTTCTATAGATAGGATTATTTTCTTGCACATAAATATTTCTCTTGGACTTACACAAGTTGTTAAAGTAGATGTTAAAGGTTTTACAGGCTTTTTTTTTTTTTAAAAAAAGGATAACTTCTCATTGGCTTGATGTATCTATTAAGCAGAGGCATATTAAAATTTTTTGAAGTTTATTTGAGCAACAGTGACTCATGAATCAGACAGTGCCAAACTGCAAGCCGTTCTGGCTCCCCTGGAGTGCAAGGGGAAAACTTTTATAAGGTGTTTGAGGAAGCAAGACAGAAAATATTTGGATTGGTTAAAGTGGAACAGCAGCCTTAAAGTCTCTAGTTGGAGATTAGTTGGTGGATTCTGATTTGTTAAATGTGGTCTTCCCAGGATATGACCACTTACTCTGAGTTAGGTTTCAGTTTGTTTACCTAGGAACTCTGGGTCCTAGAGCTGCCTCAGTGTAATGGGCTCCCAATTAATTATTTTAACAAACCAAAGGTTAGTTTGTATCTCATTTACAAATAGATTATTTCTTGTTTTGATCTTGAACATTAGTTTCTTTAAATAGTACAGAAGAAAAGAGGAAGTTCAGTTAGTGAACTTTAGTGTAATATGTGAAAATAACTTCAGGGAAGATTTTGTTTATTCAATAATTATAGAGTATACTTAAAAACTATGTGGAAAGAAGGTAAATTGATAGATTTTACCTTTCTAATGATATATGATTATTTAGTTGATAGGACCTCTGAGTTTTACTAAGGCTTTGGAATTTTAATACAAACTTGTGCTACTCATTTCTTCCAGAGACAGAGCAAGCCACTTGCCTGTGGGATGAACACAAATACAGCTGCTGTTTTTAAAAAATAATTTTTATATACCTGCTGACATTTAAAAGTTGGAGATTTTATATTAACTAAATTAGGTCTCTAGCTTGTCTTAGGAAATCAGAAGATCTGCAACTATTGGGCCTGTGTTCCTCCATGGCAGCAATGAACTAGGGCAGGGTGGAGCAGACATACCCTACTCCATATTGCCTCCATCCCCCTCCACTGCTGAGCATTACCTGTCTGGCCTCTGCCTAATTAACACTGTAGATATCTAAGTCTTTCGCATAGTGTTCTAAGACTGCCGCCTTCTGTCCTCAATCCTTACCTTTTCAAGGTTATTTTCTGAGCATGCCTCCTTTTCTACATTCTTTATTCCTTACCGCACAATCATGCATCTTTTCCTCAGCCCTGCTGAACTTTTCATCATTACGGGATGGAGCATGCCGCTGCCTTCCCAATTCCACTTACATTGAGCATGCTTTTTCCCTGTCACCCTACCTAACTCTTCTCTTCCTCGAAAACCCCTACTCATCCTTTAAAAGGCAGCTTGCATATCCCTGCATTATTTTTCTGTTGTGCTTCCTCAGCATTCTGTGCTTGTCTCTGGTACAACAGAGACTGTAATACAGTTGCAGCTCTGCCTCTTCCACTATGACTTAACCTATCCAAAAGGCAGGCGTTGTCATCTCTAGATTCTCCACTTAGCGCATTTTCTGGCTCATAGGAGGAGCTCAACAATTCATTTTTGAATAAATGAGTGTTTTTAATTTTCATTTATTGAAGTGTTTCTTTCTAAAACATTGCTCTATGCTTCACTTAAAGCCAAAAGCAGTTAAAACTAGGGCGGGTGGGCTGGAAGAAATAGGATAGGCAAACATTTAGACACCCGATATTTGGGGCTAAGTGGACACTACTATAACCTGCCATTTGTTAGATAGCTCAGCAGTTATGTAGACAGTCTTATAAGCTAGAAAAACTTGATGCAAATTCTGGCTATGCCATTCTCTGGCAGTGTGACTGTCAGGGAAGGTATTCACAAAGCTTAGTTTCCTTAACTATAAAAGGTAAAAACAATAATGTGAACTGCATTTGTGAAATGATTAGCACAGTAGCTGTCACAGAGTAAGTGATCAATAAATGGTAGCTGTTACTGTTATTAATAAATCATTTTGTTTCTCTGGACTGCATTTCCAAAAGATATGATTTCAACTGTAACTACTGAAATCAGATATAGGAACTGTTACTAAGTGGTAGTGAATAAATGTGTGATATTTAATTCAAAGCCAATGTTGCATTTTTAAAAAATTAACAAAAAGAATGATTATATAAAAGAAATTAGCCTTTCATACACAGAAAACCTCAAGGTTCTGGCCAAACACTGGCAATTGAGCAATTCCTGAGGACTTCGGCCTAAGAACACTAACGTCATAATTATCCTAAATAAAAGTGAGGCAAAAACCAGAAGTGGAGGAAGGGCTTGGAATGTGAATCAAGTAAATGTCATTAAGCAAAAGGCTTGCCTGGAACTCAAACTATTTTTGCCTTTTGACCATTTGGAGAACAGGTATTATCTGCTTACTGCCTTTTCTCTAAAGACAAGATAGTATAGACCCTCACTTAACATTTCATTTATGTGTCAAGCAAACTTGGAGGCTGTTAGTCCCATCTAATTCTATGCATCTAAGAGGAAGATAAACCATCTGTTCCTGGGTAGAAATATTTGGCTGCTGAGAGAGAGAAAAAAAACAGTTATTGTAATATTTGAGGGTTATTGACAAGTATGATCAATCCATGAGCAAATTTGACAATAAAAATAGGTGGGTCTCTAGTACATTTTGAAGTGAAATTATATCATTGATATGCTTCATTTTCCTTCGTGGCTTATACAACTCTTTGCCTTAGCAAGTCACGAGGTTTTAGACTTCATGCACCAGAGGATTTATGAATGTACAGTGAATCTAGGAACATAATGTAATTGCCAGGTTGTCCTCCATAAGCCCCAGCTGTGACTCAGCCAGCTAACACAATTGCAGCCTGAGCTTACTAGGAAAACAGGTCAATGGCTTGCCAAGAGGCAGAGGTTAATGGGAAGCACGGGTGGCAGGAGTATATGCACAACTACTTTTTTCTTTGCAAGGTACATTAGTTGCATTTTCTTTGGAGTCAAATCTCAAATGTGTTTCTACTAAAAATAAACATTTGATTTGAGATTCTTCTCATTGTAAAATAGATTTCACAACAAAAGTAATAAGAGAAATAACTTGATCACCTAAAACTTCTAAACTTATAAAGCAAAAAATACATGAATAGAAAAAATTGACTGGGCATGGTGGCTAACACCTGTAATCTCAGCACTTTGGGAGGCCAAGGTGGGTGGATCACTTGAGGTCAGGAGTTCAAGACCAGCCTGGCCAACATGTTGAAACCCCATCTCTACTAAAAATACAAAAAAATTAGCCGGGCGTCATGATGAGTGCCTGTAATCCCAGCTACCTGGGAGGCTGACGCAGGAGAATTGTTTGAGCCTGGGAGGCGGAGGTTGCAGTGAGCCAAGATCGTGCCACTGCACTCCAGCCTGGGTGACAAAGAGAGACTCCATCTGAAAAGAAAAAATAAATAAATAATTGGCAGAAATGCAACACATAATTGGGAATATCAACATTTCAAAAGTAGAATTTAGTTCACATGATACAAAGGTAATAAGGCAGACTTAACATATATGTAACAAACTGCATGGAAGTAAAAAAACAATTCACTTTTTTGACCAAGGGTATCTTAAACAAAGATTGGTCATGTTCTGAACCACGCAACGTAAGTGTTAGTCAAAACTCTATATGCCAAATATGCAGAAAGTAAATCATAAAAATGGAAATAACAAAATAAAAATGCTCAATCACACAGAAAATATGAAAAAGAAAACTTAAACTTCACTGAACAACGTCTGTGTGAGAGAGGAAACCCCAACATGTAGTAAAGTAAAATACTTTTTAGAATAAAAATAGGCTGGGCATAGTGGCTCACATCTATTATCCCAGCTCTTTGGGAGGCTGAGGTCGGAGGATCATGTAAGGCCAGGAGTTGGAAACCAGCCTGGGCAGCATAGTGAGACTCCATCTCCACAAAAGTTTAAAAATTAATTGGGAGTGGTGGTGCATTCCTGTAGTCTTAGCTTCTTGGGAGGCCGAGGCGGGAGGATTGCTTGAGCCCAGGAGTTCGAGTCTGCAGAGAGCTATGATTGCACCACTGCACTCAGCCTGGGTGACACAGTGAGACCCTGTTTCTAAATTTTAAAAAAGGAAGAAAAAAGGCCAGGCATAGTGGCTCCCACCTGTAATCCCAGCACTTTGGGAGGCTGGGGCAGGTGGATCACGTGAGGTAAGGAGTTTGAGACCAGCCTGGCCAACATGGCGAAACCAGGTCTCTACTAAAAATACAAAAATTAGCTGGGAGTAGTGGCGGGCGCCTGTAATCCCAGCTACTGGGGAGGCTGAGGCAGGAAAATTTATTGAATCCCGGAGGCGGAAGCTGCAGTGAGCCGATACCATGCCACTTGCACTCCAGCCTGGGTGACAAGAGTGAGTGAGACAAAGAAGGCAGGGAGGGAGGGAAGGAAGAAGAAAGGAAGGAAGGGAGGGAGGGAGGGAGGGATCATACTTTTCTCTCCCTCTGATCCTTTCATAAACTCGAAACCAAGACATGGCAGGATGAGAGAGCATCTTTGGATTTTCAAGTATTTATTTCAGAATGCTTTTAATACATTAAAAACCTTTTTTTTTTCTTTTTTTTTTTTTGAGATGGAGTCTTACTCTGTTGCCCAGGCTGGAGTGCGACTGGTGCAATCTCGGCTCACTGCAACTTCCACCTCCTGGGTTCAAGCGGATTCTTCTGCCTCAACCTCCCGAATAGCTGGGATTACAGCTGGGATTACAGTCCCGAAAAACATGCCTGGCTAATTTTTGTGTTTTTAGTAGAGACAGGGTTTCACCATGTTGGCCATGCTGGTCTCAAACTCCTGACCTCAAGTGATCCACCTGCCTTGGCCTCCCAAAGTGCTGGGATTACAGGTGTGAGCCACTGTGCCTGGCCTACATTAAAAACTTTTGAAAACTAAAACAGAAAAAAAGAAAAAAAAATGCCAGCACGTATCACTTTGAGATGAGACATCCTTACTTAAGAAACAACTACTGTTTACCCAAGATACTTCTGTGGCCAGGAGAAAGAAGAATAAGAAAGCTCAGCAGGGCAAGGATTTGTGAAGCTCGATGCCAGATACGGAGGGGGAACAGTCCAGGGTTGTGGACAAGGACTTCTTGCTGAGATTTGCATCTCTTAATTCTAATGAAACACTAGCACTACCTTAGGTTGTTTCCCCTGCTTAATCCCCAGAGGAAATCCCTTTGCTTTTCAGAGATAAAAAGTTAGCAGAACAAAGAGAAAGTCAGGGGAAGTGCCTGGGCCTTTTGCTATAGAATTCCACTGAAGCCTTTCCAAGCCTAGAGGATAGAACCCGAGGGCGATACTATTTATTTCCACACCTGGATTGAATATCAAGGTCTGTGAGAAGATAAATCATTTGGAAACCTGATGTTCTTGCAAGGGGGTGTTGCTTTTTCAGAACTCTAATAACAACTGTGTCAAAGGCAAAAATCACATGAAAAGTTCAAAGTTGTTAAATCCCCCTTCTTTACTGCTTTCAGCAAGCGAGAGTCAGAGAGTCTCGCAACTGGTGATGTGGATCATTCCTTCTCTGAAAAGGAGAGATTAAAGATACAACATGGAGGCGGGAGGAAAAGAATCAACAGCTTGAGGTAGCAGTTCTTATGAGAACACCTGTCTAAGACTTTCATTATTTTCACCTTTAACTGAGTGATTAAGGCAAAAGGCATAGGACTTGATTTGGAATCATATGTGATCCTGAAAAATACATTTGAAAGGAGTTGAGGCCTGGGAAGGTCCTGATTTAGTAGTTTCCCATCCAGTACAAACTTATTCAAACTTATTCACATCGAAGCTCAGCCCATTCCCAAGGGCATTTCATTTTTGGAATCAGCAATGGGAAGTAATTATAATGTGCATATAAAACAACCAGAGATGATAAAATCCTAGGCAGCGTGATGCCTCCAGCTTTGTTCTTTTTGCTTAGGATTGTCTTGGCTATGTGGGCTTTTTTTGGTTCCATATGAAATTTAAAATCGTTTTTTCTAATTCTGTGAAGAAAGTCAATGGTAGTTTGATGAGAATAGCATTGAATCTATAAATTACTTTAGGCAGTATTGTCATTGTCACGATACTGATTCTTCCTATCCATGAGTGTGAAATGTTCTTCCATTTGTTTGTGTCTTCTCTTATTCCCTTGAGCAGTGGTTTGTAGTTCTCCTTGAAGAGGTCCTTCACATCTTTGTAAGTTGTATTCCTAGGTATTCAGTTCTCTTTGTAGCAATTATGAATGGGAGTTTGCTCATGATTTGGCTCTCTGTTTGTCTGTTATTGGTGTATAGGAATGCTTGTGATTTTTGCATATTGATTTTATATCCTGAGACTTTGCTAAAGTTGCCTGTCAGCTTAAGGAGTTTTTGGGCTGAGATGATGGGGTTTTCTAAATATATAATCATGTCATCTGCAAACAGAGATAATTTGACTTCCTCTCTTCCTGTTTGAATACGCTTTATTTCCTTCTCCTGCCTGATTGCCCTGGCCAGAACTTCCAACATGATGTTGAATAGGAGTGGTGAGAGAGGGCATCCTTGTCTTGTGCCAGTTTTCAAAGGGAATGCTTCCAGTTTTTGCCCATTCAGTATGATATTGGCTGTGGGTTTGTCATAAATATCTCTCATTATTTGGAGGTATGTTCCATCAATACCTAGTTTACTGAGCATTTTTAGCATGAAGCACTGTTGAATTTTATCAAAGGCCTTTTCTGCATCTATTGAGATATTCATGTGGGTTTTGTCATTGGTTCTGTTTATGTGATGGATTACATTTATTGATTTCTGTATGTTGAACCAGTCTTGCATCCCAGGGATGAAGCTGACTTGATCATGGTGGATAAGCTTTTTAATGTGCTGCTGGATTCCGTTTGCCAGTATTTTATTGAGGATTTTCACATCGGTATTCATCAGGGATATTGACCTGAAATTTTCTTTTATTGTTGTGTCTCTACCAGGTTTTGGTATTAGGATGATGCTGGCCTCATAAAATGAGATAGGGAGGAGTCCTTCTTTTTCTATCATTTGAAATAGTGTCAGAAGGAATGGTACCAGCTCCTCTTTGTACCTCAGGTGGAATTTGGCTGTGAATCCATCTGCTCCTGGGCTTTTTTTGGTTGATAGGCTGTTAATTACTGCCTGAATTTCAGAACTTGTTATTGGTCCATTCAGGGATTGAACTTCTTCATGGTTTAGTCTTGGGAGAGATTTTGTGTCCAGGAATTTATCCATTTCTTCTATATTTTCTAGTTTATTTACACAGAGGTGTTTATAGTATTCTCTGATGGTAGTTTGTGTTTCTGTGAGATCAGTGGTGATCTCCCCTTTATCATTTTTTATTGTGCCTATATGATTCTTCTCTCTTCTTCTTTATTAGTCTGGCTAGTGGTCTGTCTATTTTGTACACTACAAGGCTGCAGTAACCAAACAGCATGGTACTGGTACCAAAACAGATATATAGACCAATGGAACAGAACAGAGGCCTCAGAAATAACACCACACATCTACAACCATCTGATCTTTGAAAAACCTGACAAAAACAAGTAATGGGGAAAAGATTCCCTATTTAATAAATGGCGTTGGGAAAACTGGCTAGCCATATGCAGAAAACTGAAACTGGGCCCCTTCCTTACACCTTATACAAACATTAACTCAAGATGGATTAAAGATTTAAATGTAAGAACTAAAACCATAAAAACCCTAGAATAAAACCTAGGCAATACCATTCGGGACATAGACATGGCCAAAGACTTCGTGACTAAAACACCAAAAGCAATTGCAACAAAACCCAAAATTGACAAATGGGATCTAATTAAACTAAAGAGCTTCTACACAGCAAAAGAAACTATCATCAGAGTGAACAGGCAACCAACAGAATGGGAGAAAGTTTTTGCAATCTATCCATCTGACAAAGGGCTAATATCCAGAATCTATAAGGAACTTAAACAAATTTTCAAGAAAAAAAAACAAACTCTTCAAAAAGTGGGCAAAGGATATGAACAGATACTTCTCAAAAGAAGACATTTATGCAGCCAACAAGCATATGAAAAAAAAATTCACCATCACTGGTCATTAGAGAAATGCAAATCAAAACCATAATGATATACCATCACACCAGTTATAATAGCGATCATTAAAAAGTCAGGAAACAAC